GCTATTCGTTATTTGTTGATACGTAAAATTAAAAATCTTCCACGTAAAGTCAAAATCATAGTCATGTTCGTAGCAAGGCTGTCCAGGAACTTTACTTTTGGTATTCACACTATTGAATTTGCCTTCGTTCTCGTCATCTGATGTATTCAACTGGTCTTCAGAATTGTCACTATTTTTATCACTTGATTGCTGATCGAATTGTATTTCAGTTCTCGACCGCTTACCTAAGATTTGTTCACGATCCATTTTTTCCAGATGAATATTTTTTAATTTACGTTGTTTCCTGTATGCGTTATTTCTATGTAAACGTCTTTCATTTCTATCCACATATAAAATGTTTTTAATTATAACTATAAATGTTTCGGTCACGTTTGCGTATACACATCCTAACAAATTAGTCACCATGTAGAGTTTTTTATATACGTTATCCACATTAACATGATCATTTCCAATGTTCTTAGTACGGGAGCACAAACCTCTGTAAATAAATAAATCTTTCCCAAAAATTAATTTGTTAGCAAAATCTTGATTTTTGCCCTTCACATCGGTAATCTGTGCCCATTGCAGATGGCCTAAAAGTGCGTTAAGTATGTCAGATACATTTTTTTTGTCCACATAAGATGCGAACGTTTGTTCTTTATGTATTACAAAAAAATACAAGAAACTCACCAACACTTTGCACAACATTGTTTCAAGTAAAAAAACTAAAATTTAATTTTTATAATTTTCTTCAGTGCAAAACATTATTACTATACGGTGAACAGGAATACATGTTTTCCACTTGCATAAAGAACAAAAGTGTATGTGTAAAAGAAAACTTGTTGTTACCAACTCCAGTGTTTTTTTTTAAAACACTTGTTCTAGTAAAGACATCTACAATATAACATTGTATTCAGTAAAAAACTATTTGCTTAAATGTATAATGTATATAATATTTTAAAGTAAAGTGAAGTACAGTGAACGGCTATTTAGGTTTTCCGCTTGTATGCTATACAAAAACACTAGTGAATTATTTTTAAAAAAACATATCGCCGCTACTGCATGGCCACACATGTATCGCAGCCTGTAATTCCGCTCTACCTCTCTCCATCCACCTTTATTTATAACAGTTTGTTTTTTTGTACAGCTTTTATGCCTTCTGGCCTTTCCGGCGCCTATTTTAAGTAACAAAACAATAATAATATTGTTAAATAGTACATTTATTTAAAAATTAAAAAAAACATAATAATCATTTGTTTTTTTAACGTTTCTTGTGCCCCTGGCCAAAGGACGGAGGTACCTTATAACAAGTCACCATAATTTAACGTACCTGCCATGTACAATAAAAAATAACTATTTTTATTTTTTAAGTTGCATACAACATTTACCGATTTGACGTGTTCAACGAAGCTTTAAGCTTTGAGCGTTGCCGTTCAACGTATTTTTAATAATTACAAAATCACTAAATTTGTACATTTGCTGGAATTATGTAAGTGCACTAAAACCGATAGCACATAAAATTTATATTTATGTTCGTATTGTCCAATTGGCGATAACGATCTAACAACTAGGAAGTCACTACAAAAGATTTTGAAATAACGATAGACAAACGTTCTTATTTACAGAATACTTAGATTACATGTTATTTATTCTATTTGATTATGGTACAGTACCGTACTCTGTACACGTTATATGATTTTTTATGCGATGTAATAAAACTAATCGACTTTGTAGTAAGAATTGAAAATAATAAGATATACAATCAAAAAATTAAATCTTTATAAAGTCAGAACAAATAAATGAAAATTAAAACGCTTACATATTTTTTTATTTTTCTACAAATGTATGTAATTAAATACAAATGTTATGCTTATAAGGTTTGGTGTAAAAAAGTTCAAAATATTTTAAATTGTAGTAAAACGTATACCTAAAAGTTTAGGGAAAAAATATTCATATTTTCAGAGAAAATGAGTGTCTTACGTTGTTGGGTCACCCTGTATTTGTGCAACACATATTTTGCAATTAACAGAATAACACCAATGGCACAAAACAAAAAGTTAAGAGTATCCACACTTCATGCAGATGCATCAGTGGATATGTCCTGCAGTCTAGTATCTCTTAAATCTTATCTCTAATCCACTATCCCTATTAATTTACCTCCTTAATTCTTCTCCATATTCCTTCTCCTAAATCCCTTCATAATCCTACTCCTAACTCCTCCAAACTTAATAAAAAATAGTATTGACTTTTGCACAACATGTAACAATTAAAGAGAGAAATGAGAATAGTGAAACAAGAGAATAGCAATTATGTATCATTTAAGGATCACTAATAATGAGCAATTATAAATATAGTCACATAGAGAAAAATTGACAACAAGTAACTATAATTTCTTATAATAAGTTGTAAATACATTTGTCAATGTTGTTTTATGACTTTTCATTAAACTTATAATATAATTATTAATTTAGTTTATCATAAAAATACATCAAATACGATTGGTTCCATGTACACGAAACCTAAATCTAAATAAAACGTATTAATGACATTATTTAAGAGCTCTTCAATTTGAATTCCAAATTGATAAATGACATCCGTTTTTTCTTGACGTGGAAACTCAATTTGAAAGTTCTGTACTATTTCTTTGATGTTTTGGTTTTCTCTTAATGGTACTATGCAATATTTGTTTAAGAACGTTCTCAACGAATGCTGTCTCATACCACTTATAGTCCTCAACAATTTTTCGATAAATACACCTCCTTTTGACTTATACTCAACATCACTTTCATCGATATCAGTTGGAAAAAATCGTTCTAAATGTATCGATATATCTTTGTACCACTTCAATAAATTTAATAATTGGTGTACATGGTCTATGCTACGATATAAAACATATGCCTCTGGTTGAATTAATCTTACTAAATAACTTAGCGCGTCACACATGTATTCAAACATTCGTCGACTATTAGTTAATTGTTGATACGCAAATTTGAAAATTTTCCATGAAATGTCAAAATCATAGTCATGGTTGTAGTAAGCATGTCCTCGAATTTTATTTTCGGTATTTACTTTATCCCGTTTGCCATATATCTCGACATACGATGTATGCCCCTTGCCTCCCGAACTGTCATTATTTCTGCCAAGTGATTGTCGGTCATTTTGTATTTCAGTTCTGGAACGCTTACCTCGTATTTGTTTAAGAACCATTTCTTCCGGTTGCATTTTCTTTAATTTGTGATTTTTTATATAATGTTTTTTTTTGTATGCTCTATTTTGGCATATACGTCTTTCATTTCTATCTACATATAAAATGTTTTTAATAAACATTATAAATGTTTCGGTTGCGTTTCCGTATGCACATCCTAACAAATTAGTCACCATGTAGAGTTTTTTATATACGTTATCGACATTAACATGAGAATTGCCAATGTTCTTAGTGCGGGAGTACAAACCTCTGTAAATAAATATATCTTTACCAGAAAACGAAACATTTTTGTTTGCAAAATCTTGATATTTTCCCTTCACGTCGGTTAGCTGTGTCCATTGCAGATGGCCTAAAAGTGCATTCAGTACGTTGGATATATTTTTTTTGTCTACATAGCATGCACACGTTCGTTTACCGTAAATTACAAAAAAAATCAGAAATCGGAAATATACTTCGCACAACATTGTATTTAGACAAAAACTGTATGCTTAAATTTAAAGTGTATATATATTTTTAAAGTAAAGTTTTATAATATGGTGAACGACAATTTACGGTTTCCACTTGTATGCTATACACAAAATCGAATGTACCTATTTAAAAGAAAAATGTATCGTTACCAACTAGAAATAAGAGATATTTGTATTAGTAGGTGACTATGTTATACGCATAAACAAATAAACATTTGTTTACAAAATAACAAAAAACAACTACATTTATAAATTACTTTTAGTTTTAAAGTGGAGATTAGAATGATTTATTTTCTTCATAGCTTATTTTTTAAAATAACGAAATCTGTTTTTAGTTCTATAACTTGACAAAAATGTTTAAAAATATTTGAATTTTCATTTTATCCATATTTTTTTTACACGGCTTTTTTATAAATTGTTTGATAGCCAACAAATAGTTTACTTTTTGGAATATCCTTTATATATATATATATATATAGTGTAATGTTAAGTTCTACCGAGCTTCAAATGAGACATGAGTACAATAAATTATATTCATTTTTTTTTTTTTAAAAACGCATGCGCACACATCATTTTGTGTTAGAATTTTATTTTCAATTCAGTGGTGTTTTAAGAATTATTTTATATCAAATGTTGTGTCGCATGCAATATGTTGCTTTTGGTCACATACTGGCGGCCACATGGTGGACGCATCTGTGGCCAGATACCAAAAAATTATAATACATATCAATTTAACAAGATTTTTTCTCCCGATTTCAAATCTTTTTGACGTTTTGTCTGTGAACAAAGATTGTTACACAGCTTGCCTATTAATTTGAATGAATAGGCAAGTGTATAAAAGTTTATTAGGTAATTTAATACAATTAAAATTCTATGTTTTTTTTCTGAAAATATTTCATTACTTTTAATGTATATAATTTAAAGTAAAGTTTTTTACAGCACTCGGAGATTTAGGTTTTCCAACTTTAAGCCGTACAAAGTGCTATTTTGTATAAAAAAGAACGTATCTTAAGCGGCTGATGTGTAGAGATATTTGCATAAGTGAACACTATGTTATACGTTCAGCCAAAAAAACACTTGTTTTTAAAATTAAATAACAACAATACAATATAACGTTTGTAAGGCGGCAAATTTACCTATACGTGTTTAAAATAAACAGGTGCCCAGGTTTTTGTGAGGTAAAGACCGTGTTCGTTTTTATTTGTTTGTAACCGATATTCGAATTGCCGAACAGTATTAACATCAAATGACAGATATTGTAAACAACAATGACACAATGTATTTCAATATTTTAATGTATTTTTATTATTATAATCGATTCAAATTTATTAGGATAACAATGTGTGGACGTCGAACGGGGACTTTTCCACGTACGCGAAACCTAAATCTAAAGAAAGATAATTAATTACTTTTTTCACAAGCTCTTGAATTTGAACTTCAAAGTGATATATGGTATCCGTTTTTTTTATTTGGAAACTCAGTATGAAATTTCTTTATTATTCTTTTGATGTCCTGGTTTTCCTTTACTGGTGGTATGCAATATTTGGCAACGAACGGTTTCAACGATTGATTATTCCCACCGTTAATAGACCTCAACAAGCTTGTGGCAAATTCACCAGCTTTTGACTTGTACTTCACATCAAATTCACCATTAGAAGTTGGAAATAATTGTCCTAATTTTTTCGATATATCTTTGTACCACACACTAACGGTAATATGTGTTGTACTGGTACATGTTGTATGCCAGTAAATAAAACATATGCCTTGGGCGGAAATAATCCGTATAAATAACTTAATGCGTCATACTTGTATTTAAACATACGCTGGCTATTCAGTAATTGTTGATACGTAAAATTGAAAATTTTCCATGAAACGTCAGAGTCATAGAAAGACTGTCCACGAACTGTATTGGTAAATTCATAATAAGGTAAACGTGTATCACAACCTTTATGTTTGACGGTAAAGATATTCTGATCACCTTGTTTCTCGACATCCGATGTATGCGCCTTGTCTTTGAAATCGCCTCTATTTTGACCATATGATTGATCATGTTGTAGTTTTGTTTTCAATCGCTTACTTTGCCCTTGTTTAGAAGACTGACACACATCCTAAAAACATAGTGATTATGTATTATTTTTTACACACGTTATCGACATTAACATAATTATTTTCAGTATTTTTTGAGCGAGAGTACGAACCTCTGAAAACAAATTAGGGTTTCCCTGTAAATGAAACATGTTCGTTTGGGAAATCTGGATGCGGTTTAGCTTCCACTTCGGTAATCTGTGCCCATTGCAGATGGCCCATAAGTGCATTTAGTACGTCTGACAGGTTTTTATTGACCGCGTAGGAAGCAATCGTTCGTTCACTGTTATAGTGTATTATAAAATAATACAGACATCAGATGACCACTTCGCCGGGCATTCTATTTAGGACAAAACTGTTTGCTGAAATTAAAAATATATATATATCTATAAAATTGAGGTTGTATACGGCTAACGGAAATTTAGGGTTTCCACCTGCATGCTGTTTAAAATTAATATTGTGTGTAAAAAAAAAAGTTAAACTTGTTTAAAAACAACTATACAATACAAGGTTATATCAATGTTTTGTTATTTTTAAACATGTTTTAATTATTTCCATTCGAAACAATCCGAAATTAAACAGAAAATATTAATTAAACACAAAATAATCAACTACATGTCGAAAAATAAAGTGAACATAATATTTTTACTGTCAAAGATAAAGTATGTGATGCACATTTACCTTACGACGAACTTACCAATATAGTTTGTGTTCGGTCATCCTTTGACTATGACGGTTCTTGGAAAATTTTCAATTTTACGTATCAACAATTATTGAATAGTCAGCAGATGTTTGAATACATGTATGACGCGTTTAGTTATTATACAGATTAGTTCCGCCCGAGACAAATGTTTTATATCCTAGCATAGAACACGAACAATGAATATTACAGCGAAATATTAAGAAGTACGTATCTAAACGATGTAGTTGCTTAGTGTAATCTTAAACAAACTTTGAATATACAGGATGGTCAATTTATCGTGAATCACTTGATATCCGATAGGGCCTAATAAGAAATTACATTTTTTTTTTCATATTGTTTTTATATAATGTATATAATTAATTATAAGAACATTATGAAAAAAAATTGTATTTCTTATTAAACCCTATCAGATATTGAGTGGGTCACGATAAAATAACCACCCTGTAAAACAATCGGCTCAAAGTAATCGATATTGTCATTACATTAAATGCCACCGATACATATTTTCGCAAGTTTATAAGAACATTGCCATTGTTTCTGGTGAACGTAGTGCTAAAGATTATTACATAGGACATTATGGAAACGTGCAACTATATAATTAATAAACAAATCTTTACTTGTATTGGATTGAGTCCCATGTTGCACATAATAAGTAATAACCGTTGTATGAACTACAAAAGAATGTTGTCGACTTAACAGCCTGACGTCAATGGTTCAAGTTTAGTACAATGTGTACCTAAAAGAATAAAAAAAAAATCTTTTCAAAATATTAATATCTTTCTCGAGAATCGAGTTTCTTACCCAATATGAATCACCCTGTATTTTTGTTATTTTGTTATAAACAAGTGTGTTATAGGTATACGTATAACATAGTCGTTTGCTAATACAAGTATCTCTGCACAATAGCCGGTACAGATACGTTCCTTTTAACACACAATGGCACTTTGTACAGCTGGCATACGAATAACCTAAATGCCGTTCGCCGTAGAAAACCTGACTTTAAAATATATTATACGTTTAAAATTTCAGTATACAGTTTTTGCCTAAATTGAATGTTGGGCAAAGTGTTAATCGGGTTTCTGTATTTTTTGATAATACACTATAAAAGTGAACAAACGTTTGCATTTCAAGCGGTCAAAAAAAATGTTCCCGACGTACTAAATGCACTTTTAGGCTATCCGCAATGGGCACAGATTAGTGTAAGCTAAACGAGATCCTGATATCCCAAATGAATATGTTTCATTTTCAGAAGTTTGTTATCTCGTGCAAAAAAAAAAACCCTGAGAATTCTCATATTAGTGTGATAAATTGTTTAGACAACACTAAATGGTCACTACTTAGTTAGGATGTTTATACGAAAACTTCTGTAATCTGTGCCCATTGCGGATGGCCCAAAAGTGCGTTGAGTACGTCAGACAGATTTTTTTTGACCGCGTGAGATGCAAACGTTTGTTCACTGGTATAGTATGTTTGAAAAAAAAAAACAGAAACCCGATTAACACTTTGTCCAACATTCTTATTAGGGAAAAACTGTATACTGAAATTTAAAAAATATATATTTTAAAGATATTTTTTATACGGCAAACGGCAATTTAGGTTTTTTCCAATTGCGCGCTGTACAAAAATACTTTTGACTGTAAAAAAAAAAACGTACGGTTACGGACTAATATTTAAAGATTTTTGACAAAAACTATTTTGTTATATTTTTAAAACACTTGTCCATATAAAAATAAATAGAATACCGTACAACGCAATTTATATAACGTTATTAGCATATATAGGATTTATTTAGTCTCTTTTTTCTGCTATACAATTTTTCGAATAAAGTGAATATTATTTATCTTATAAAAACACAAGTTCAATTGAATAAAAATTAAACCGGTTTTGATTCTATTAGTTATATTCTACCAGCTTCATAGATAGTCGAACTTGTTCTTTGTTATTATATACTTGCTAATTATTTTGAACTGTCTAATTCAAGATGGAGCAATTTAATTAATCTTTTATTGATTGCTTAGTTAAGTTTAGAACATCTTGCGCTTTGATAATAGATACTTCTATTTAACCATATTCACAGTGAATGGCTTTATGTTTTATCTCTATAACAAAACTCACAATAGTTTGCTCCTCACTTTTCTTGTGCATTAAAAAACAACATATTTCATAAACTATATTTTGATTCAATGTTGATTAAACAAAACGTATTATATCATAAGTGCTTTATTTTTTTATCATTTTTCTTCATTTTTTTGAATAAATAGTTCCTGGCACCCGCCTATAACTATTGAACCACGCTTTCCAATTAAAATTGTCGGAGACATTGGATTCTGGTTGCGTCTTAAAATCCAACCTATATTATTGTTTCTTCACTTACCTTAACGTAGTTTGCTATTGAATTTCTGTGGGCTTACAATTTTATGTTTTGCCATTAACCTTATATGTATTTATTTGTTGACTACCTTGATAATACAATCTGACTTATAAGGTAATCAAGTATGCATGTACCACTGTGTTTGCTATGAGAGCAGCATAGGCAAAAACCATAGACTCTACTGTGTTTGCTATAAAAAACAGCATTGACAAGAGTTAGCATTTAGTAAACACCAATTATATTATTAAGTTCAAAGAAAGTAGTAAATGATTAAACTACATAAGAAATAAAATAACACTTTGGGTTTTAAGAGAGGTCTGTCTTAATTGAGCGCACCCTTTCGGCAATTGTTTATATCTAGAATGGAATGTGTATGTATGATGTCATTGACGATGAGATTCAATGTACGATCGGACATTGTTTTACAAAACATAATAGTTGAGATATTATAGTGATAATGTGTTAAGGGGGGGGGTATGGTTAATTCGTGCAAAAAACGGCAAATTTTTGTGAGTTCTTTTTGACGACACAGTTAAAATCTGTTTATTAAAACTAATGGTACATTAAAGTATAACATTCGAAGAATATTGTGTAATATTTTCATGTAGAAATATTAAAAAATACGGCAATGGCGGCAATTATTCGGAAGCGTCTCGGAAAAAAGTAGAATTGCGGTGCCCCTCATAACTCGATGCTGGATCATCCGAAATTAAAAAAATCAAGTTCTTTCGTTAGATAATTGCTTTCCGCAGGTAACGCTGGGAGGGTTTTTTGAAATTTCAACTTTTCACTTTTTGGGAACACTTAGAAGGGAAAAACGCGATTTTTGCGAAAAAAATCGGCTAATTTGTTATTGTAAAATAAAAATATTAACAAATTTGAAAAAAAAAACTCTCCAGCGTTACCTCGTTAGTTATGTACTGAAATAGTGTTCAAAATTTCAAAAGGATCGGTGTAGTAGTTTTGAAGTTATGGTGGTCACCGACTTTGAAAACGTGAGTTGTGGGAAAAACGCTTTAAAGTTAACAATTAACGATTAATTAACGATAGTGCGCTCGGGTCGGGCAGCTATAAAATTCCGACAACTCATTACGTCGTCAATTTTGTTCCGATCGACTTGAAATTTTGACACAATATTTTTGAGATATTATGCATTCAGTTAACAAAAAAAAAAAAAAATTAAAAAAAAAAAAATTAATATCCTACCCCCCCCCCCCCCCCTTAAATAATAATTATTAAAAACATACTCATGCATAGTACATGAAAATGATACTTAACACTAAACAGTATACAAAAAGAGTTGAAAAACAATGATATATCATTTATAGTTATAATAGGTACCTTCAAGTTATAATCAGGGAATAAAATACAATTGTAGAATTATGACTATACTTCATATTTAGGTTACTGAATAATACTTATTTAATAACATTGTTGTTATTTTTTTTACAGACAAGTGTTTAAAACACGTCTACTAGTACAAATATCTCTTAAATTTAGTCGGTAACATACATATTTTTGTACATATAATAGTTGTTTTGTACAGCATACAAGTGGAAAGCCTAAATTTCCATTCACCGTATAAAACTTTACTTAAAAATATATTCAATTTTAGTATACAATTAGAATGTTGGACAAAGTTTTAATAGGGCTTCTGTTTTTTTTTGTAACACACTATAAATGTGAACATACGTTTGCGACATCATACGCGGCCAAAAAAAACGTATCTGACGTACTCAATGCACTTTTGGGACATTGGCAATGGGCACTGATCACCGATGTACAGGTCAAACATCCAGATGTCCCAAACGAATCTGTACCGTTTTCTGGGAAAGATTTGTTTATTTACAGCGGTTTGTTTTCTCGAGCGAAAAACATTCAAAATTCCTCTGCTAATGTCGATAACGTGTATGAAAAGTACTACATGGTCACTAGTTTGTTATCATGTGTGTACGCAAACGTGACCGACACATTTACAACGTTGATTCAAAACATTTTATCGATAAACAGACATGAAAGACGTCTATCTCTAAATAGATCATACAAGAAACGACGCGAGCTAAAGAAAATCCATCTGGAAAAAATTGACCGTGAACAAACGCTAGGTAAGCGATCGAGAACTGAATTACACAATGGCCATCAATCACTTGATACAAATGGTGAAAATACGAAAAACGAGGCGCAGTCTTGTGGACAGTCTTTGTACGACCAAGATTATCACTATGACATTTTGTGGAAAATTTTCAATTTTACGTATCAACAACTATTGAATAGTCGGCGGATGTTTGAATACATGCATGACGCATTGAGTTTTTTGCACAGATTAATTCCGCGAGAGGCATATGTTTTAAATCCTAGCATCGAACACGTACACAAAATATTACATGTATTGAAGTGGTACAAAGATATACCGATAAATTTAAAACGATTATTCCCAACTTATATCGGTGAAGTTGATGTTAAGTATAAGTCAAAAGCTGGCCCATTTGTCACACTCATGTCGAAGTCTGTTTTTGTTAGAAATCGGCAATCGTTGAAACCAGTCATCAACACACACTGCATACTACCAGTAAAGGAATACCCAGACATCCAAACAACGACACATACATTTCAAACTAGGGTTCCGTGTACAAATAAAACTGATATTATATTGTATCAATTTGAAAATCAAATCAAAGAGCTTATGAAAAAAGTAATCAACAACTATTATTTGCATTTAGGGTTTGTGTACCTCGAAAAATTCGAGTTCGACATCCGTTCCTTGTTTCTTAATAA